TTTAGACATTTCGAAAGTAGCGTCGCAGTACTTTATCGTACGAGTTTATTATCAGTGTGTCATGGCGCACCCCATCCACTTCTTTACAGGAGGGACGTGATGTTCATGTGCTCTAAAACCTCGTCGAGGCATAGTCTTTTCTCTTTTCTCTCTATCTGTGCTTATCCTGCACTATTGGTCTAATCATGCTCTTTCTTCAGCCATCCAACCCCACTGCCCAGACCTAGGAAGCGATGCAGATTTCATCTGTTACGTCTCCGTTTGTAGGGGCTTCGCAAATGCGCCTTCCGCGCGTGCTCATTTTGGTAGACTTTTGTGCCGTGCACTGCGCAACGACAGACTGCTGCAGTGGTGGGAGGGATTACTTCAGTCTGTCGGTTTATTGCAGATCGCACCTTTCAGAAGACGGATAGGAGAACCTGGGAACTTTCGTAAACCGTGTCAACTGCATTTGTAACTCTCTCAAGCACGGGGGGCTACTGAGCCGCTTTGCCGCTCGAGGCTTGTCCGGAACCTTGGCTTAAGCTTTGCCATGATCTCATAGGCAGAGAAATCATTAACCCAGGTGGATAGGTCGTATCTCTAGTTTTCTGTTCATCAGAGCCCGAGCGACCGAGGCGTTAAGTGGTCTGTGCATCCTTGATATCATTGCTGTGAATGTTCGCTGATCATCATCTTTTGTCTTGGTCTGTGAACATTGGATAGAACGCGAGGCAAAGATAACCACTATTTGTGTTCTGCAGGCATACGGCTCGGGCACCTCACCGACTTTTACACCTCTGCGTGTAATGCGGTTAGTTGTCCTCGCAGCGCAGCTTCTTATCAGACGCACTTTCATCTGTTGCATCCGCCGGCTTAGACTTCGTACACCGCGTCAGGGCACACATCACATAAACAAGATCCAAGAACATGAATCTCGTCCTGGATCCTCCGATTCCACCGAGATCGTATCTTCATAAACGGTCCAGATCGCTACAACATTATGGATCCCGGAATTTTCAACCGGACTCGTCGTGTCCTCCGGTAGCGCACACCTGCTTCATACGCAATTGAGATACCGTGCGCAGTGCGAATGTATTATCTCAGTGCTCAACTTGTGTCTTTGCAGATCCCCATGCACTTTCCGTAGTTTTCACGCCACCTCTGCTATCTAATACCCACCTGCAAGTCCAAGCCCGTTCGCCCCGCGTCGGGCACGTGTTCGCTTAGCAGGGCCTAGTCGTGTGGAAGAGCCTGAGGTCAGTGCTCGGTGCTCCTAAATTGGTGCGTAAAGTCAGGCGGGACTGCGCGCCCTACACGATCTAAAAGGCACGCTGGGCAATTACTAGCAGGTATGGCATCCTTCGCCTGCCCTAAAATAGGAAACACGCCTTCTCCACGCGGCAATAGAAGATGTTCTGGAAATCAAAGTGCGATTCTTGTAGTGGTCAGTGCATCGCCAATCACAAACCCTTTACCTAAGTGATATCAATTTGGACACGCAGGCTCGACTTTCAATTTTCTCATTGGACATGCACGTTCCGACAGGAATGGAATATTGCAATTCCTGGTACGGCCTGCTGGACATCGCGGGTAGATGCGCTTTCGTTCTCGATCTATGTGTATCGGCAAGCGTTTCATCTCATGACACCAGAATTCCGCAGATTGTACATCTTTGGGGTGGTTGCTAACCCCTCTACTCTATGCAGTCTAGACCGGACTTAAACACATCATGTTTCTTTAGTCCAACGCTGGGACCGGTGAGTTGTATATATACAAGCCATCTTCCGCTTCAACAGTTCCTCACTGCAGTTGAGTTCTCTCCCTAGTCTTTCCTGTATAACGCCCCCACGAATCTTTACGACCCCCGCTTTGCGATTCACATCCCACTTGTCTACACATTCTAAGATGCCTTCTTACTTTCGCAACTGGTTTGGCAAGGATACCAATCATTCCTCCTCAAAGTCTGATCGCACGAAGATACCAGCACCTGTTTACACATCAGCTCCAGCTCGTCCAAGCACCGCGCGCAGTTACAGTCATTCTACTGCTACGCCATCTCCCCTAGGCAATTCCGCCTCGATAGATACACGGACGACATATGGCTACGGCAGACGAGGAAGTACGGGTGCCCATACTTCTGATCTCCGGCCACAGGTCCTCATGCGAGCCAGCTCACGGGGTAAGTTTCCTTACATTTATTTACAACGATGGCCCACTCAAACGATTATCTGTTTAGCCCCTCATCCTATTTACACCCCATCTGCTGGCCAATTCACACCGGCCAGTTCCCGCTCGAACTCAAATTCTTCCGTATTTACTATGAGCTCGGCTCCGTACGGGGGCTCCCGATCTGACTCTGGTCATCATTATCAGCATGCCACTCCTCATTCCGACAGACGTCCACCCCTATCCACAAATAATAGCTGGCATTCAAGTAGTTATACAAGGGTTGGAAGTGCTTCTTCATCAGGTATGCATTAAATCACATTTTGCAAACTCCCGCTCATATCCCCTTAGTTGGTTCTGCTTATGCGCGCTCAGAATCTCATGCATATGCACATGGGCGCCCAAGTTCACTGAACATGCATCCTATCCTTGCATACACCCGCCTGCATCGCGCACCGATAACCTACGACGTCACCTTCACCCCATCTGCACGCACTGTTCTCGACCGCGCGACGCGTTCCGCCATTCCTCCACACACGCTCGCTCAGCCTGCCACAGATCCTCCCACTCCGTCCTCCTCGCGTCTCATCCTACGCTCGCACAAGTTCCCCTGGCCCGTTATCGTGCAAGGCTCGGGTCCGCGCTTTACCATCGGACCTCCGAAGGGAGGTCGGGGTTCTAGCGCAAACGCCATCACGAACCTTGATGTACTCTATGCTGTACACACCACGCTCCTTACTCCTATTACGCCTGAAGAATGGGAATCCCTTGGCCATGGCAGCCGGGCGCAGCAGAAAGTTACCAAAGCGTATGAGCGGCGATGTTCGCGCATGGGCGGAGGCTGGGAGGCTGGTGTGAGGAGAATTGATTGGTTAGGTGAGAAGACTCGGCTTGTCGGTGTGGAAATCGACAAGAGCACCGGAAACGGCGTGGGCAAATTGGTTTTCGCAAAGGCTTGAGCACTTCACGTTTCAATTAGGCACCGTTATCTCGGCTTTAGTCATTCCTTGCTCGTGCTGCAGTTCCCGGTTTGATACTAGGTATAAACTCATGCTAGTCCCTCGTTGGTACTCGTCTTCTCTCGCAATCGTTGACATATCGGACTATATATTCCCATGGTTTCACGCATCTGGACTCTCATTGTAGCATTTACTGTAGTATACCTGTAGTATTAGTGTACAATAATTCCTCCTTGCATATGTACCTCTATCTTCGAACATGCAATGTATGAGCACCATGTTCACTTATAATTGCTTGATCAGAGTTCTACTTGCACGTTTCTCCGTGCCAGCGAGACATATGCACACACATTGACCTCTTCAGCCCACTTAACTTCGGATGTTATTATTGATCCTCGCGCCCGAATACAGAGAGGACTATAGACACGAGAAGCATAGGAGACAAAATACATATTACAATGATGTTGCATGACGATAAGAAAGAAAGATTCTATGCAACGTGGAATCCTCATGACGATAGAATGGGAGATAGGATTGAAGAAGATAGGGGGTTTGATTGACGCAGAGTACCTATGGATGACGTCGAGCTCTCTGCCACCGAAAGTTAGATTGTAAACTTAGAAAGCCCACAACCCAAGCACGTTCGCGTTCGAGTCTTCAAGAGCAATCAACACCGAGTTCGGGGAATTGGTATTGCCCGGGGACGGCCTGGGTGCATCCAAGACGGTCCTGATGAGAATTGCAATGTGTTTGATCATTGGATTCCGCGCAGCACCGGAGACAGAAACGTGAAAGTGCAGGTTCAACACTAAGATAAGGATAATGACATGTAGGTACGTCAACGGAGGAACGAAGCGCTGCGTGAGCAAGGCAGAGAATGCGGAAATGAGGCCAACTATTAGCACGCACAGTTCGATAAAGCTCGCGCCGTAGCCTCCAAAACTGCACTGAGCACCATTCGGGAATCGAACATCAAGTTGACCGCCGTCATCTGAAGGGTCGAGAATCGACTTGCTGATATCGAGGCAACCTGTCACCTTTGGTACGACAAGTTCAGTGACCAAAACAGAGGAAGAACACTGTCATGAATCACCTGTACCCAGGAGCCATCATCCGCATGCTCAACAACTGCAGCAGCTATGAAGCCTTCTTGCATACGTTTGTTGCAAGCACTGTCTTCGCTACTGGGAGTGCCATACGAAATCCCGTCCGATTCGGCATCGGAGACAAGTTCTCAACACGACGTTCATGAGCTACGCAGCATAAAGGGAGCCCCGCGCAAGCCCGCCTACCTCCTTGTCTTGAAGGCATGAGTAATGCAAAGTCATCGGCGCTTGTGATGTGAACAATGGTCGATGGCGATGGGTCCCCAGTCGGCTCAGGAGTCGGCCGAGTGTCTGCAGGTACATTATCTTCATCATCTCGGCGGGAGGTCTTCGTTGCGGAGCGCTTTTCAGGTTGAGAGAGGCTGCGAGGCTGCAGGGTATCGAGTAGGAAGTTCGTCGCCGAGTCGCTGAAAGCAGTCCCAGACCCAAGACTAGTAGCAGTTGCAAGGAGCTCAAAGGGCAAGCAAGTACGGTTATATCCAGGAGTTAACAGGGATAGCGGGAAAGACAAGTCGTAAGAAGGTGAGCAGCCCAGGCAATCCAGTTGACCCAGGCCGGCTTTGTCGTCAGAGTTGCATCCGGTCAGCGCTGCGCACAGAGAAGGATCGAAGTTGCGTGCCATAGAGAAGAACAGGATTATGGTATAGAGTCTGAAGTTCATTATATATAGAAGAATTGCGTAGTTTAAGGGCAGCGTTGAGGGATAAAGACACTCGAGAGTCAAAGTCCAACATAGGTGAATCTCTTTTTTCTCTCGTGACCCTGTTAATGTAAATGAACTTATCAGTCCCGTTTAGCTCAGCTGGTAGAGCGCGTCACTAGTAATAATACGCTTACGCAAAAATTTAATGACGAGGTCAGTCGTTCAAGTCGGCTAATGGGAATTTTTCAAATATTTTTGCACGGGCCAGGAGTAAGTTGCTACAGCCTAAGGCCCTAACAGGAGTTTAATCAGGGTTCAAAGTTCAATATCCAATATCTAGGATTGAAACTTGAAGAGTCGAAATTCCGCACGTAATACATACAGTTTCTCATTGACAATTGCTAGCTTTGGGTTCGACTGTCAACGACTCAACTTGAATGTTGTATCTACAGAGTACCGCCTGGAGAAACGCTGCAATGTAGAATACTAGCCAGGGCTCAGCCTGCTGGTCAACCGGTCAAGTCCCATACTATCGGTGGGAGTGTTGTGGATTTTGGTGTACATGTATGAGAAATATTACTTTTTTCATTGACATGGGGTATATAACATGATCGAGCGACTAGTTGAACAAGGATCGCGTCCCTTACAAAACGAGATACTGACAAACAAGAGTGGGGTGGACGCGTGTAACAGATGAAAGCGTATGACTAAACTACCGCGATTATAGAGTTCCTGAGAGCTAGACGATACAGATAATTCTTTGAGAAACTTGGGGAGGGTTCCAAACGAGACGGAATTCTAGATGATACAGTGGTGGAGCGGAGAGAAACAGAAGGCGGAGAGTCTGTTCAGTCTGAGTCCGTTGAGTCTTCAAAGTCTTTCTTTTTGTGGGTTTTTGATTTGCACGTTACGATCGCAGGCTCATTTCACTGAGACTTGAGCTCAAGAGCCCATGTGTTCCCGCAAGGACTGAGTCCACCAAAGAAAATGTTGGAGCCCATAAGGTCAATCCTTCGGTTCATACTGTTTCCTGCGGCTAAGGATTTGCGCGGCTTCAGCTCCCGCAGGCATTCCGATTTGGATAGATACTTACGTTGACTCAATTGCTGCATAATCTGCTGCAATACATCTTGTACGCTCAAACCCCTAGGGTTGTATACGGTGAAACGGACCGCGGTAAAGAATACTGTGACCTCGAGTTGAGTGGTAGGGGGAGTGGTGGCATCTTCGTAAAAGCGGGCAGCGTACGGAGAAGCGCTAAGCGATTGTGGATATTGCATGTTTACTCGCAGGCTGCACTCAGTCGACAGAAGTGGACTGATAGCCAACTGGCGCTGCCTGACCGGACTCTCCGGTGGTGTAGGCAGCCCAACTACAATTACAGACAAAGCAGTCAATGTGAGATGGAAACAATAAAAATTCAAGCGGCGCACATTGAGGCATTTGGTTTGGTAATGGTATGGGTCCCATGTACGGAGCAGCCGGGAGCGGATGTGCGGGGGTGTAAGGCGTAAGAGGGAGACCTCTCGGCGCAAGGTACGGAGCAGACGGAGGGGTGGAGGGCGTTTGAGCAGAAGCCCTCCTGCCATTGGGCGAGGGAGTGACTGGTGGGTTAGGATGCATGTGAACGTCGGCGTAGGACTACGGCGTGTCGGTCAGAGGGGAGAAAGCTGGGGCGGATGACGGTCGGGAGGCGGGCGGTGGAGGAGGTCGCGACTGACTCGACTGCATTATATACGGCGGTCTTTGACATCGCCCCGAAGAAGGCAATGAGGCTCGCCGATGCGGCGGCCCGCCGTTATTTGGCATGCTCGAGGACACGAGTCGTGATGGTACGGCGATGAGACCCTCTTTAGGCGCCATCGGGCGGCGATAAGTACGCATTCATATCCAAAAAGGGTAGGCATCACCAGTCGTACCAGCGCTTCCCGGCCGACATTCACCCACATAAGGAGATATACCGACACGCGGCGGGTTGGGCGTTATGCCATCAATGATGCATGCCGACTTCTCGTGGGCGGAGCTCGACAATTTTAGGCGGGCTCTTTGTTCTCTACGATCATGCACAATGTGCACACCTGTTATCTTTGGACACGCCACACCGACGACGTCGGCCTAGGGCGGAGGGCGGAATCCTTCAAGCGCTCGTTCCCACCCGCATCGGGGGTCATGCTTGGCAGCGAACCGGCGGGTGAGCCGTACATTGTCCCCGACTTCCCGCCGTCACCGACAATGGATATTCGTTTCTGACAATAAAACGTCTATTCCCATATATACGTTCGGAAGACAACTATACTAAGGCCGGTATTACAAACCGTTACCATTTTGAGTTCCTCTTCTCTTTCCGACCACTTTGAGCGACCCAGTGTATGGGCCCACTCCCAGACATATGTCGTCCGCTATCCTACGCTCATTAATTTGACTCGCCGTAGCAGGCGAAGACAAAGCTTGAAGACTTGGAGACCCTTGTATAGCATCTCCTAATCCCAAGAGTCCAAAGATGATCATCCTTGAATCAGAATGGAACGAAGCGGCCGGGGTAGCAGAGGTTACAACTGAGAGTGATGGCGTATCTGATTCGCATAGACCTCCAGGGTGAGTCTATCTTGTCTGTTCGTCCTTTGATATGGGCTACAGCTATCCGCGATATAGCAGCAACGTGGATTCAGTCAACCCATCGGTACCAAACACCCCCGTCACATCAAGTAGTCTTCTATCCCTCCTGCGTAGCTCAACTGCCTCACGGAGCAACGGCTCAGCTCTCCACGAGCCAACTAGCCCTTCTGTAAGCGGCACGTCAGAACGTTTACCAGGGTCAGTCCCGTAGTGCCATTCTGCGACTCGATGACTCTAGCTTTAGCTCCCTTTTATCAGGTTTCAAGACTCCTCCACCTCTGCTAGAACTGATCCTGTCATCTACATGTTTGCACATGCAGACCAGTCGTATAACGGCATGCTGCTACAAAGCCAGAGAGCCATGATACCGCTGTACCACATCTCGGTGCGACTGAACTGCTTCGTCCCATCTTCGTACATCACCATAATCAACAGAGGAGATTCCGAGCATGGAGAGGAGGTGGGCCAGTTCGAGTGAGTTGATACGATCGAGCTGTACGAAGATGCGTTGCATGCTGATTTCGTTGGGACAGGATGGGTCAATCCCTTCGGAAGGATACCGTCATAGTACACGGATATGAAAAGCTTATTGACTCTGTACTATCCAGAAGCGGGAATAGATCGGTGGTGAGCTTGAGCTTGTTTACTTGCCCTTTACGTGCTTCTTCTCTGATTGTCATTATCTGTCGTTATGCAATCATGCAGCGCACCTGGCAATGGAAATTTGACGGCGACCAAACCAGACACCTGACTTGGGTTTTTGACAGTCCAATCAAATACGTGAGTGGTTCGCTCACGGAGGTCTCTACGACTTAGCTAACCTCGCAAAGTGCTATCGGGGCACAAAGAACGCAGGCATCGAGGCCGCTCTGCTTGCAGCCTTCACCCCGCCACCCTTGACTCCTCGAGCGGACGGGAGACCCTCGCCTTTGGCGTCCCTCAAGGTATACCCAGAAGGACACAAGCTATTTGACCACATCCTAATGTCAGCTCTCATACTTGAGCGTAGGAGATTGACATCCGTCTAAATATTGTTACAAACCAGCATCTCGTACCTTTGCTATATCTATCGCAGACATTGGACTTTGCAGTGGACGCTGGAGTGACATCTTGATGTATGGTCTGGTATTCTCAAAGCTATCTCTTTGTTTTCGCCCTGAGATGACTTGTTGCTTTGCTTTCTGGCGCTTGGAGTCAGCGAACCGGCTGATCAACTTTCCCGCCGAACGCTATGATAGTCTAAGCTCTTGGCAGTGAGTCATTTTAATTGTTAGGCCTCAATGCTGTGACGTGTATGGCCATTCTCTCTGCGCCCCCATCCCATAGACATACTAAAGTACATATTCTCAGACAGCGCCATGGAAACGTACAATATTAGAGCTAGAGAGCCGACTGTCCTAGACGGGCAGTCTCATTGGACCTTACGGCCTGGCGATCTAATGTTGAGCTTCAAGGTAAGACTCTCTGTACGTTTGTTAACTGTTAATGACCTTAATCGTGTAACAGGTTGATACTGCTCACATGATTCCGGGGCAAATAAATATTGAACGTTTCAACGACGCGCTAGAAAGAACCATGTCTATTTATCCTCTCCACGCTGGCCGCATGCAGAGGCCCCGGGGAAAACTCGACGATTGGAAGGTATTATCGGCTCCTTGAAGCTTGGCCTCTTTATTAAGTTCTCATGAAATCTGTTAGATCTGTCTCACAAACGATGGCGTACCGGTCACCATAATCGATAGTGACGCAGAAAGCGAAGTCCCTACTACTTGTGTTATCCAAAATCCTTGGGTGTTGACAAAAAGTGTGCAACCCGTCAAATACTTTGACTATGATTCGGACGAGCCACTCTTACACGTCACTATCATCCGTTTCACGAAAATCGGGAGTACATCCATAGGTTTGTCCTGCGCTCACGCCATTGGTAAGTTCTTAGCGTTCACCACACAGGCCATTTACCTAATCACGTTATGTTAGGTGATGGATATACTATTCTACGATTTGCACGCCTACTTTCTCAAAACTACCAAGGTCTTCCCCCATTGGACGACCCACCATCATACGCGGACATCCCTTCGTATCCTTTCAATCCGGACGACTATGGAAAGATCCCGACTCCAAATTTTAACCTTAATTATCCTGCGCGCGATGTCCCTCCGCACCAGCGACCTGGGCACCTCAAACCGCTGCGCATAGACCTTCGATTTACCGCAGGCCAAATTGCGCAGATCCATAAGGCTGTCTTGGCTCATGCGGCAGAGCCCATCATTCTCTCTCGCCAAGACGTCCTGTCGGCTCTCTTGGTTTTCTGCACTTCAAAGGTCGACTCGCCGATCCAATATTTGAGTAGTATTTGCAACGTGCGTGTTTCGAACTACAGTCACAGTATGGCCAAATTGACATAATTTCGTGGTCCGCAGTGTCGTGGCATCAAGCCCATACCAGCCAATTCTACGTGCAACGAGCTCATATGGGCTGTGACAGACCCAGCTAGCGATCCAGAAGTGGAGACGGTATACTCTATTGCGTCTCGTATTCGTAAATCTTTGCTACGAGTACGAGATCCAGGATATGCTGCAGCTTACAATGCTGTCCATGCGGTGAAGTTCATCGAAGAAGCCAATG